CGGTGGGAAGAGGATTAGGTGACAGTCCCCTAACCCTCCGGAACTAACACCCGCCTCCCTCCCTCCCACACCCTGGCCTGCCCCCCTAAAGCCTGCCAGGGCTCAGAATAACCCCGAGGACCAGACAGCGCGATGGCAGGGGCTCTGCTGGGCACCCTGCTCCTCTTGAAGCTCCTCGGTAGGGACAAGGGTCGGCCACACGCACAGGGATAGGGATGCCCAGGGGGCAAAGACGGGAAACCGAGAAGCAGGCTTGGTATCTGGCTCAGGAGACGGGGAAGAGCACAGAGCCTCAGAGACACATGCAGCAGAGCCCTGTGCAGACCTGGAGGCAGCAGAGAGGGCCCCCCTCCCAGCCCTTCCTCTGCTGCGAGCCCACCACTTGACCCCATCCCCAGGTGGAGGTGAGGCGAAGAACGAGGAGCTGCGTCTTTACCACCATCTCTTCGACAACTATGACCCAGAGCGCCGGCCAGTGAAGGAGCCTGAAGAGACTGTTACCATCACCCTCAAGGTCACCCTGACCAACCTCATCTCCCTAGTAAGGTACCCCCGCCCCCACCCCCGAGCCTGAAATTGCACTCCTGGCTCTGGAATCCCACTTCAACCATCCTGACCCTTGTCTGCAGAACGAGAAAGAGGAGACCCTCACCACCAGCGTCTGGATTGGAATCGTGAGTCCAAGCTGGGAAACAGCGGGAGGTCTTGGCCCCTTTCTCCCAGTCTCCTGGCGGTCACCAGGTGGGAGATGCAGGGCACCGGAGCGACCATCCCCACTCCTTAGGACTGGCAGGATTACCGACTCAACTACAGCAAGGACGACTTCGGGGGTGTGGAGATCCTGCGGGTCCCTTCGGAACTCGTCTGGCTCCCAGAGATCGTGCTGGAAAACAAGTGAGCACCGGGGCGGACGGGAAGCCGAGGACTGGGGGCTGGGCTGCACCTGGCGGGAGGGGGGCTGGGCTGCACCTGGCGGGAGGCGGCTGGGCTTGCTGGGAGGGCGAGGGGGTCCCGGGCCCGGGCGGACGCCGGCTCTCTCGCGGCCCACAGCATTGACGGCCAGTTCGGAGTGGCCTATGACGCCAACGTGCTGGTCTACGAGGGCGGCTACCTGAGCTGGCTGCCCCCGGCCATCTATCGCAGCACCTGCGCCGTGGAGGTCACCTACTTCCCCTTCGACTGGCAGAACTGCTCTCTCGTCTTCCGGTGGGACGAGCTGCTCAGGGGCGGGAGTGGGGGTAGGGGGGGTGACTTCGGGGTGGTGGGGCGGGGGACGGGCCGGGTCCGAGCTTCCCCCGTGCGGGCCGGCCCTGGCTCCGCAGCTCGCAGACCTACAACGCCGAAGAGGTGGACTTCGTCTTCGCCATGGACGACGAGGGCGAGACCATCAGCAAGATCGACATCGATACCGAGGCCTACACTGGTGAGGCCTCCTGCTCTGAAAACCCACCCCTAGACGGGGTCCAGGGAGGGGACTCGCCGAGTGCGGTGGCCCCAGGCCATCGAGGCCGGGGCTGGAGTCCGGGGCGGGGCTCGGCACCGTCAGCCGGCCTTGACCTTGCCCCTGCCCCTCCCCCGAAAGCACTCTCGACGGTCGCGCCCGAGCGCCCCTCCTCGCCCGAACCGCCTTCGCCCGGACGGCCCAGACCTCCCGTGGCCCCACGAGCCAGGGCGGGCCGGTCATACCCTCTCCCCCGCCCGGAGCCCCAGGTGTCGCGGCCAGGTGTGCGGGCCCTCGGGCCGGCTGACCGTGCCTCCCGCCCCGCAGAGAACGGCGAGTGGGCCATTGACTTCTGCCCCGGGCTAATCCGTCGCCCCGACGGCGCCTCCGCTGGCGGCCCCGGGGTCGTCGACGTCATCTACACGCTTATCATTCGCCGGAAGCCGCTCTTCTACGTCATCAATATCATCGTGCCCTGCGTGCTCATCTCGGGCCTGGTGCTGCTCGCCTACTTCCTGCCGGCGCAAGGTAAGAGACGGCCAAGACCCTAACCCCGGGCGCGCTGCTGGCGGCGGGGCCTGCTGTCACCGGGCGCTCCCTCCAGCCGGCGGCCAGAAGTGCACCGTCTCCATCAACGTCCTGCTCGCCCAGACCGTCTTCCTGTTCCTGATTGCGCAGAAAATCCCCGAGACGTCGCTGAGCGTGCCGATGCTGGGCAGGTGACGGCGGAGGGTCCCGGAGGGGACCCACGCGCGCGGGCGGGGCCGTGGCCACGCGACACGGGGAGCATCTTCGGGGTCCCGGCCCGGCTGGGCTTTATTCGATCGTGGGGCGGGGCTGGGGCGGCGGGGGGTTCTCCGGTCCCCCGTCCTCCGCACTGCTGCTGGACGCCACCTTGAGGTCCCCTGAGTATCTCTGTCGGGGGCGGGCCGGCTCAGTGCCCCATCCCCAGCCCCGCCGCGCCCCGCCGCCTCCGGCCCCCAACTCCTCCCCCCTCCATCTCCGTCCTGAACTCACCGGTCCCCCGGCGGTCCCGAGGCCCAGCTGACGCCCCCACTGCTGCAGGAGGGAGGCGGACCCCTGTAGGCCCCTCCCGCACAGGCACAACCACGCCCCCTGCAGCACCAGCCGGGCACTCGCGCCCGCCGCAGCCGCCGCTTGCCGAGCCCCGTGCCCCGCGGCCTGGGCTACCCGGGCCAGCGCTCCGCCCGGGTCCCCGGCGCCTGGGGCTGGGCCCGGGCTGCCGGCGCCGCCGTCCAGTCTCCGCACCTCGTGCTGCAGCCACAGGGCTGAGATCTGCGGTGGGGGGTGCAGGAGTTGGTGGGGGATGCAGGGGTCTCTAAGCCCCTTCCCGCCCCTCGGCAGCCCCCCCGAAGCCCCTCGCGCCCCACCTCGAACAGGGTGGCGCCGAAGCCCACGACGCTGGCCGCGGCCTCTCTCAGCACCAGTCCCAGGGTGGGCTTCGGGGCGGGCGGCCCCTGGAGCTCCCGCGGCTCGCGGGACTCGAGCTCTCGGAACCTCTGCTCCAGATACTCGTGGGCTGCGGCCACAGCGAGTTCCAGGGAGGACAGGAGCGGGGGCTGCAGGGCCACCTGGATAAGGAGCGGGGGCGTCGGGGCCGTCGGGTCACGGGGCAGAGCTCACAGGGCCGCCAGCCGTGGGCGGGGCCGCTGGCGTAGCCTCACCTCCGTGGAGCTGTGGAAGTGGTAGACCCACAGTAGGGTTTCCAGGGAGCTGGGCGTCCCCTTCATGGCCGAGGGCGGAAAAGGCGGCATCGGGTCCGCGCGCGCTGTCTGGCCCCGCTGGGGAGGAGCAGCCTCCCCGGCGGGGAGGGCCGTTTGTGAGGTCACGCGCGGCGGGCCCCGCAGGTACCTCATCTTCGTCATGGTGGTTGCCACGATCATCGTCATGAACTGCGTCATCGTGCTCAATGTGTCTCTGCGGACGCCCACCACGCACACCGTGTCCCCTCGGCTGCGCCACGTAAGCGCTGGGTGGGCGGGGCGCGGCCCCGGGCGGGCGGGGCGCGGCCGCGGGCGGGCGGGGCCTCGAGCTCGGCCCGCCCCGCCTCCAGGTCCTGCTGGAGCTGCTGCCGCGGCTCCTGGGCTCGGGCGCGCCCCGCGAGGCTCCCCAGACCACCTCCCCGCCCAGGCGCGCGTCGTCCGTGGGCCTGCTGCTCCGCGCCGAGGAGCTGATACTGAAAAAGCCGCGGAGCGAGCTCGTGTTTGAGGGGCAGAGGCACCGGCACGGGGACTGGACCGGTGAGTAGAAGGGCCCGGGCGGGCGGGCTGGCGCGGACGGCTGCGGCGGGGCGGGCACCCCGGTGACCCTCCCCTCCCGGGCGCCCCACCAGCCGCCCTCTGCCAGAGCCTGGGCGCCGCCGCCCCCGAGGTCCGCTGCTGCGTGGACGCCGTGAACTTCGTGGCCGAGAGCACGCGGGACCAGGAGGCCTCCGGCGAGGTGGGACAGGTCCCGGGGGGCGGGGGCGGGTGGTCACCTGGAGGCCTCGTCCCTGGCACCGCGGGAGACGCAGCTTGTGTCCGCCCCCTCCCCAGGAGGTGTCCGACTGGGTGCGCATGGGGAAGGCCCTGGACAACATCTGCTTCTGGGCCGCCCTGGTGCTCTTCGGCGTGGGGTCCAGCCTCATCTTCCTCGGGGGCTACTTCAACCAAGTGCCCGAGCTGCCCTACCCGCCGTGTATGTAGACGGCTTCTCCCCCCGCCCCCCTTTTTGGAAGGAAACCGATTTTGAAAAACATGCTGCTGGCCCATGCTGTATTGTGAGCCTTTACCCGCTGCCATAATAAACCCGCGCTTCGCCAACTTCACAGAGGAGTTGTGCGTGCCCGCACGTGGGGTTGGCTGCACACGTGGGGTTGTGTCTGCACACGGGTTGTGCGCGAACACGTGGGGTTGTGTCTGCACACGTGGGGTGCGCGAACACGTGGGGTTGTGTCTGCACGTGGGGTTGTCTGCGCGAGCACGTGGGGTTGTGTGCACACGTGGGGTTGTGTCTGCGCACGTGGGGGTGTGCCTGCGCGCACGTAGGGTTGTGTGCACACGTGGTGTCTGCGTGAGCACGTGGGGGTGTGTCCGCGCCCGTGGGGTTGTGCCTGTGCACACGTGGGGTTGTCTGCGTGAGCACGTGGGGGTGTGTCCGCGCTTGTGTAGGTCCGGCCACCGGTCAGGAAATCGGAAGCAGACGACAGTCCTCCAGAAACCACTCATCACCCCTCCATCCAGCCTTGCTGACCCCCCCAGTTCTGAGCCGCCCCCGGCCCCTGTGACCCTCTCGCCCTAGAAGTTGCTGCCTCTTTCTGGGTTGAAAACTGAAGGGGCCCCTCTACGGGACTTCACCTGAGGCGGCTGGAACCAGGAAGCCAGGCCCCTCCCTGGGGGAGCCAAATGCCCTCAGCGAAGGTCCCCCCAAGGCCACAGGGAAAAGGCCCCCTCGGCCGCCCCCTCCCCCTCTCCCTCCCTCCCTCCCAGCCCTGCAGGCTTCCGCTGGTTGGTATCCAGGACTGGGAGAGAAAACAGTAAAACGGCCCGAGATGGTAGGAGCTGGTTGAATTGTCTTTATTAACAAACGGAATATCCAAGGCCACTACATTGAGAAGGAGCGGGGCAGGATGGGGCTACTTGCTGCTCACACTATATACAGAGGCAAGCAAGGGGGTGCGGGGCGGGGGGCGAGAGCTCCCTGCTCCCTCCCTCCACCAGGGAAGGACAGAGGCTAGAAAGAAATGGGGTTGGAAAGGGGGAAATGTTTTGGCTGGCGGGGTCCCCCCTCCAGTCCCTGGGGTTTGGGGGGAGGGGAATCATTAAAGTGCTTTCAGAAAATGAGGAAATGGTCCCTGCCCCTGGAGTGGCGGGCGACCCCCCTGAAACCTAGGGCCCAGTGACCCCCCCCAGGGTCTGGTACATTCAAGGGGGGAAGCCGGCTCCCCTGACGTGCAAATGAAGGGGCCCAGGGCCCTGCCCGGTCAGCAGCAGTGGGGTCCGGGGTCCACGCCCCAAGCACTCTCCTCTGAAGCGGAGAAAAGGGGGGTGGGGCTCGGCCATCCCGATTCCGGGGAAGGGGAAGCTGTACCTCTCCCTGGAATCGGGACAGGCACAGTTCTGGAGAGAAGAACGTATGGGGGGGCGGGCAGGAGACAGACAGGATGGTCACGTGATCACAAAAGCATCAGGGGTCAGAGGTCACGTTCCCAGCAGGCTCCAGTGAATCAAACCAGTCAAAAGCAAAAGCCCGGGGAGGGGAAAGAAGGGCGGCCTGGGGGGTCTGGCTGTGGGCACGGCTGCGCCATCACCAGTTCATGATGCAGTTACGGTTCAGCGTCATGAAGTAAACTTGGCTGCTGCCCCCGGAGCGCACTGAGGCGAAAAACACCTGTGGGGCAGGACAAGTCAGCACTGAGGGCTGGGGGGGGGTCTCGGTTAACTGGGAGCAGGAGAGAGGGGCCGGCTAGAAACCGCACAACACAGTGGTGGCGCCTCCCACCCCAGAGGCCGAGATGCTTGGGGAGAGGCAGCCGGCAACCACGGGAAGGGGTCTGGGGAGCAGGGCGGGGCTCCCAGAAACGGAAGGCCAGGGAAGGGCAGGCTGCGCCCCCAGAACCCCCTCCCAGGAAGAGCCGACGGCCAGCCCGGACCAGGACAAGGGGCTCCCACCTTGTCGTTCCGCTCGCACAGGAACTTGAGCCTCTGGGCCCGTTTGTGCATGAAGACGCCGTCCAAGTGGCCGGTCTCCACCGAGCGGATCTCGATGGCTTTCTCGCCCCAGCCCATGATCTGGTTGGAGCAGATGTAGGCTGGGGGCGAAGGGGATGAGGGGTAGTGAGTGGGCTGCAGCTCCAGCCCGGGGGGAGGGGGCGGCTGGGGGGGTGCTGGGGGCGCGGGGCGGGCGCCTCACTCACCCACAGAGGTGGGCATCTCTCCCCACTGCAGCACCACGTCCTTGATGATCCGCCCGTAGGTGTTCACGTAGACGCCCTCGTCCTCGTAACAGAGCAGCATCTCCATGCCGTCGGTGTTGGGGAGGAAGATGATGGCGTGCGGGGTGATCTGGCTCTGGATCTGGGGGGCACAGGGCGGGCTGCAGGCCAGGCACCCAGAGCCCGAGGGCCGGTGGCCCCGCCCCGCGGCCCCGCCCACTTACGTGCACGGGGATGTAGACATCGTAGCTGTTGCCCGAGTCCACGTCCACGGCGTGGAAGCCCGCGCTGGAGCCATAGATGACTTTGAGCCGCTGACCCTCTTCCACTGTCAGGTCGACCAGCAGGGGGCGGTGAGGGAGGTCGGCGAAGGACTGCGGAGGGGAGAGGGGCTCAGGGGCCGCGGCCAGGGTGGCCAGCGGTGCCGGGCAGGTGGGGGGGCCATGGCCAGGGCTACCTTGAAGGCCATGAACTTGTGGTAGGGCTTGGGGGCCCAGGCGTACACCTCCACGGAGCTTTTGAGAGCGATGACCAGGAACTTAATGCGCTCGTATTTCACTGGGGGACAGGGAAGGAAAAGGTCCCACAGGCCTGTCACCCAGCACGCCCCGCCCCTCCAGTCACCCAGCCTCTGGCGTCGAGGCTCAGCCACGCAGCCCAGGCCCCCTGGTTCCGTCTCCTCCTCAACCCCTCTGCGGTGACCTCCTCACCCACGCGGTAGTGCCCGCAGCCCTCCATGTCCCCCACGGTGGTCCAGCCCTGCTTCTTCTCCACTTCTGGGTCGTTGTGCAGAATCTTGTTCCGGAGCCAAGACAGGTAATACACCCGCAGTTTATTCCTTTTCCCTGAGGGCGGACACACAGCCCTCACTGGAGGTCCAGCACCCGCCGCCCTCGGTCGTCCGCACCCCACGGGGGCCGCCACAGGAGGCCCCACCTCCCCCCCCGCCCGGGCTGCAGGTGGCAACAGAGAGCCCGGGGATCCCTGCCCCGCGTGCGCCCCGCGTGCCTGAGATGGTGATGAGCAGGTTGAGCCCTTCCAGCACGTCCATCTGCTGGAAGCGCCGCCGCCCGATGAGCCCGTACACCTTGCCCTGCCCGCTTCGGTCCAGCAGCATCAGGCCGTTCTCCGTGCCCACCAGCAGGTTGACACCTGCAGCGGAAGCCGTAGAGCAGGTCACCGGCAGCCCAGCCTCTCCCGAGCTGGAGCACAGGGGTGCGCTGCACCCCGCTCTCCCTGCCCCCGGCTCACCCCATAGGGCCGCACAGAGAATCTCTGAATTGAACCGCTTCTTGTACTTCCGAATCTCGGGGGTCTCGCTGTGGGCACGGGTGTTGGTGGGGTTCACATTGACCACGGAGCCTTTCCGCACGTCGTACTGGAGCTGATCCAGCCGGCTGCCCTCCCCCCCAACCAGGGCTGCAGGAAAGAGGAGAGGGAAAAGGGGAGGAGGGCTGCAGCCCCCTCCCCCCGTCCCTCCTCACCGCACCCCTGGATTTGGCGGGGTGGGAGGAGCCTCCTCTGAGTACTCAGCAGGACCAGGGAGGGGTGGAGAAAGGAGGAGGTGCACGAAAAGGTGGAAATGGGGCAGGAGGCCTGGCAAAATCCCCGTCCTGTCCCTCGGGTGCCCGGGCCGCTTGGAGCATCTTTCCGGGGGGCCAACAGGGCCTCAGGTGCCCTCGCTGCCTCTGTGCCCGGGCAAGCGCTCGGGCCCAAGTGGAGGCCGCAGCCTCCTGCGCCGTCCCCGGGACCTCGCGCCTCACACGGCCTCCCGTCCTCACCTGTGATGGGGATGGTGTCCCCACTGCCTCCAGGCTGGTAGATCCCTAGGTCCACGAACATCGTGAATGAGCTCTTGCCAGGGGCCTTCACCAGCCCGCGAGACTGGTACTGTGGGGGTGCGGCTGTGGTCAGGCCAACACTCGCGACCCGGCCCCCCGCCCCCCCAGCACCCCTGCCCACTGCCGCACGGCTCCGGGGCTGCAACTGCCCGCTTACGTCGCCGCCTCCATCCTTCGAGGGGGGGCTGTGACCTTTGCCACTCTCGGTGGGCGAGTGGCTGGGCTGCACCACGTCGGGGAGGTTCGTGTAGCCGTTGCTGTCCGCGTGGAGCAGGCTGCGCTCCTCCTCGGGAGTCTGAGGAACAGAGGGAAGGGAGCCAGTGCTGGGCAGAGCAGGGGGCGCGGCAGGTGCTCGGAACGGGGGCGGGGGGTCCCCACTCACGCGCTGGACCACCATGGTGCCGCCCCCATAGGGGGTCTGGGTCCCGGCTACCTCCTCCACGTCGTGGACCACCATGGTGCTGACGCTGTCGGTGTCCCCGTCACTGCCACGGGAGAGAGAACTGTTGTCTGCCCCCAGATCCCGCCCGCAGTGGGGAGCGGACCCAGAGGGAGGCCCAGTGCCCTCCCCTCCGCTCGACACTGCCCTGCCGGGGTGTGGGGGTGTGGGGGGGTGTGGGTGTGGGGGTGTCCCCGCGCCGGCGCCCCGGGGGGCGGCCCACCCTCAGCTGCCACAGCAGTGGGCGACATGGGGATGCCAGCCCAGACCCCATCCTCTAGAAAAGAGGAAGGGGGCCTAACCGGCAGTGGTAGCCAAGGTCCCCCAACCTAGGAAAGGGGGAGTCTGCCCTCCCCCAGGGTGCCCCCATACCGGGCCCCGGGGGTGTCTCTGCTCCCCTCGGATGGCTCGCCGTTGCTTTCCTCCTCGTCTTCGCTGCTCTCCACCTCCTCGCTGGACGACGAGTAGTCCATGGCCTTCTTGGGAGGCCGCGGGGCCTCGTCCAGGGCTCGCTCTTTCAACAGCACGAAATCCTGTGGGGGTGGGGGCCCGGCACGTGAGGAGGGAAGAGTGGGGAGGGAGGGGGCGGGAACGAAGGCAGCCAGAGGAGAAGGGGCAGGCAACAGGGCTTCCTCAAGCAGGCCTTACTGACCTCACCAATGGCGCGCTTATAGCTCTGGGAAGGGCCGCAGGGGTGCAAGGGCAGCCGGGAGGAGCAGGAGAGAGGTGAAGAAAGGTCAGTAGCTGAGAAGTGCAGCCCATGGCCCCTTCGTACCAGGTTACAGAGGGCCCGGCCCAGGCTCCTGGGGGCTCCAAGGCCCCAAGCCCCCACCCGGGAGCAGATGGGGCCACAGCTGCTTCCGGTGACTTACTGCAGGCCGGCCTGGCCGGGAGCGGTGGTCCTCAGGCTTGGCTTTGTGGCCGGGGGAGAGCACTGGGGAGCTATCCAGTTTGGAGGAGGCTGGATCAGGCAAGGTGGGAGAAGGGAGGTCACGGACACCTGGTCACCCTCGGTGATCCACAGCCAGCCGGGGCCCCTGCCCCCCGCCGCCGAGCCCCCGGGGCAGGGTCCATCTGACAGACCAGCCCACAGGCCGCAGAGTAGGCAGGCCGTACCTCCCACGCGGTTCCGCTCCAGCGAGCCAGCCTGGGGCAGGTGCCCATGAGAGGGGAGGGCGCCTTCTGGGCGCTCCCAGCCAGGGTCGCTCCTCCTGAGGTCAGGGTTGCTGTGGGAGGGCAGAGGCAGGTCAGGAGGACAGGTGCCCCCCCCTTCCAGCATAGAGCTGCAGCACAGAGGGGGCCACCACCAGGGGTGGAGAAGAAGCCCGTGGCAGAAGTGAGGGTGGGAGTGAGTGGGGGGTGGGCAACTCCATTACCTACAGGCGTTGGGCGGGCCAGGGGGCTGAGCGGGGGACCCTGGAGGCTTGGGGGTGCCCCGCTCTGCCCGCCTTTGCAGATAGATTTGCCAGGCGGAGTTGCTGCGAGGTCTGTGGAGGGAGCACAGGGGTGCCGGGGGGCGGGGCAGGGGGCGCTGAGGTGACCGGGGTAGGGCTTGCCCACTCCTAAGTGGGTAACCTAGCAACCTCTCCTGTGCCCCCCCAGCCCCGGGGCCACCATGCAACCTCCCCCCCAGGGGCTACCTGGCGCGGACAGCCTGAGTGGGCCGGGCCCCTCCAGCCCCACTGGTATTGAGGGCGGCAGCGATGGAGGAGGTCCTCTGAGGCACCTGAGTGGGGAGCGGGTCAGTGCGTGGTGCCGGCGCCCTACTGGCCGCCCCTCAAACGCATCCTCGCCTCGGCCCCAACAAGTGTTCTCCCCAGCTTCCGCGGACCCGCAAACCGAGATTAGGAAAGCTCGCGAATCTTCCACTGTCATGAAGCTGGGACTCTAGCCCAGCAAGTCTGCCCCCCTGGGGCTCCTCAAAAGCGCTGGGCACGCTTCCATTCCCTCACTCAGCCCCGGGAGCAGGGACACAGCCCCAGAGCAGACAGCCCGCCCTCTAGCCTGTAAGCTCGCGGGACAGGGCCCAGGGCAGGCGCCTGGCCCTTCTCTTCCCTTCCAGCCCTGAACCCCATCTCCGCCTTGCCCACCCCCAACAACCCCTCCTTTTCCTTCCTGTTCCTCTTCTCTTCCCTGGTCCTGTGGCAGGGCCCTTACCTTGGGTGGGGCCTCAGGATCAGGCCGGACCCAGGCTGGGGGGTTCGGGCTGGGGCCAGGCCCTTCGGAGGTGGGATCTGAATTCTGGCGGATGACTGCTCCCCGGGCGCTGGGCGTGGCAGTGGGCGTGGGGACGGCGGGGTCAGGCTCATGGGAGGCTGGGAAGGCAGCCAGGTTTCGGGTGGGCTGGTCCTGCAGGGACTGGGATCGGGGTACAGGCGCTGCATATGGCTTCAGTGGGACCCGGTGCGCCACCAGGCTCTGCAGGGAAAGACCAGGGAGGGTGGGCTGCCCGCTCTGGGAGGAGGGAGTGAGGAAAGCCACTGGCTTCCAACTGTCCGTCCGAGGAGAGGGGATTCTGGAAGCCCCAGAACAGGTGGGGCAGGACCAGACTCATGCACGGCAGGCAAGGGGCTGTCTTTGCCCCCGTACCCTGAGATCCGTGACCCCTGGCTGAGGACGTGTGTGTGCATGCATGCGTGTGCATACGTGCACACATGGTGTGCGCATGTGAGCACACAGCTGTGCCGCACCCATGCAAAGAGAGGCTCCCACGTGTGCGTGCTCACACGGGACCGGGGAGAGGCTCACCTTGTGCGGTCCCTCCTGGGGCTCCACCGGCCTCTGCATAGGAGGAGTTTGGGAAAGGGGGCCCGGGGGCCCTGGGGCGGCCTGGGGGAGGGTGGGCTCAGGCCCTGTGCTGCTGGGCTTGGTCTTGGTCAAGGGGGAGTTCTGCTGCTTGTTCATCCTCGTTCGCTCCTCGACCTGCGGTGGGAAAGGGACCCGGCCGGCTCTGCTCCCCCGTCCTCACAGCACGGCCGCGGGCAGCCCCCTTCCCGACCGGCCCTCAGGCCCACGCCCAATGCCACATTCTCCCTTCCCCTGCCTGCGGGCGGCCGCCCCCTGCAGCTGCTGGCGTGGAGGGGCGCAGGGTGGCGGCGGCGGCCCGTACCTCTCGGGCCCAGGCCGGCTTGTCGGCGGGACCGACGCCCCGGCCGTAATGGTACAGTGGCTTCCTGTCCCCGGGCAGGCCTTGCTGCTGCTGGAGGGACTTGAGGTAGGCGTGCTCCTGCTGCAGCTGCCTCTGGAGCCGCTCGGACTGCCGCTGCTCCTCCAGCTGCTTCCGCTTGTACTCCTGGGCCCAAGGGTAGGAGGGAGAGCCGGCTCAGCGCGGCCCGGAGCGGAGGCAGGCAGGCCCTTGCTCCAGCTGCCCGGAGGTCGCCTGGCCGGGTCCCCTTCCCGGAAGTGTCCCCGTCCCTTTGCGGCACAGAGGCTCTGCATCCGCTCCTTCCCAGAGGAAGCCGGGGGCCCCGTTACCAGCAGCAGGGCCTGTTCTTGGAGCAGCTGTTGCTGGAGGATCTCGAGCTGCCGCTGCTCCTCCTCCAGCCTGTGACGGATATACTCCTGGGGGGCGGGCGGCGGCGTCGGAGGACAGGATCGTGGGGTGAGAATGAGGAGGAGAGCGGGCAGGTGGGGTGCGATGAGCCCCGGCAGGGCAGGCGGTGAGGAGGAGGAAGGGGGGGGCCGTGAGGGAAGGTGCAGGGGTGGGGAGTGGAAAAGGGACAGAGAGATGCGCGATGACGGCACAGAGACAGGAGGAGGGCAGGAGCCAGGGCGCGGGTTGAAGGGTGGGAGAAAACAGAGAGAGAGTGAAGCTGGAAAAGATAGGAGGACTCCAGGGGACGGGAAAGCGGGGGGAGGGCGCCGGGCGCAGGAGCGGGTGGGGGGGGGCGGGCAGGGAAGGGGTGAGGCCGGTGTGCGCTGGGGGCGCTGTACCTGCTCGCGCTCGGCCTGCCGCCGCTCCTCCTCCCGCCGCAGGGCCTGCATGTCCCCGAGCCTCTGCTGCTCCTTCTCCTGCAGCTTCCGCTGCTCCCGCTCGCGCCGCTGTTGCTGTGGGTGCGAGGAGGTGCTCTTCAGGCCCGCACCGGACACTCAGCCCCGGAAAGGGTGCCCGGCCAGCCTCCAGCGCCCGCTGGCAAGGGAAACCCTACTGCATGGTGCGGGCAGGCCTTCTTCCTGGGGCTGCTGGGGAGAGGCGGCGGGGAACGGCTGCAGGGGACTGCTGCCCCTGGGGGCCGCCTCGGGTGGTGCCTCCACTGTCCACTCCTCCACCAAGCAAGCCAGGCAACGGCGGCACTGCGCCCGAGAGCTAGGCGCCCAGCCTGGCCCTCACACCCATCCCCGCAGCCAGCGGCGCGGGGTGGGCCGCACGGACAGCCTCTGGCCACAAGGGGGCGGCAAGCGCCCGCGCAGAAACGCCGGGTCCAGGCGAGTGTGTCCCAACGAGGGGGGCGGCCGGCGGAGGGGCCCCTACAGCCCGGAGCCCCGTGTGCCCTGCCCGTCCCCGCGAGGGGGACGCCGTGGCCCGCGCGGTGCTGCGTCCGTCCGCCCGCTGCCGGGTACCTGCGCCCCCCGCCCCTCCCCGCTCGGCTCGGGCTGGGCCTTTGCTCGGCAGGGACAGGGGCTGCTTTGCGCTTTGCGGGGCAGCAGACGGGTATCTCCTAGGACTTGGACGATTTTCTTAAGTCCGGCTCTCCGCGAACTCTGAAATCATGCAATTGTTTCCACAAAAGTCCCCACGTTGAAGGCCGTATTTACACCTCTCCTTTCTCACCAGGTCCCTCCCGCAGAATAAACGCATCTAAGTACGACGTATACGGATGCGCGCCTTTTAGGTTGATTTAAAAAAACTCTGCTATTTAAAAAGAAGACTCTCTACTTAAAAGGCATTTCTCTCACCACCTCCAGCGTCCAAGGGACAAGACTGTACTTTCCAGCAAATCTAAGCCCAACCAACCAAAAACCACAGGAGGGTCTTCAGACGGGGCTTCCGGATCAGACCAGATACCGCCCGCGGTAACCGCCCAGGACGCTGGAGTGCGTGCGGACGCCTGAGATCCCGCGGGACGGACGGAGCGGGAACTCCGCACACGCAAGGGGCGGGACCAGCCTGTCCATGCGGAAGGCGTCCACTCTGCGGGCCGCCCACACCCCGCACGCGGGGCCGGCGGGGGGCAGCGCGCCCTCGCGCACAGGTCTGAGGGGCCGCGGAGCCCCGCCCCCCGCCCCGCCCGGGGGCCGCCCCACCTCCTCCACGCGCCGCCGCTCCTCCTTCTGCTCCTCGATGCGGCGCTGGCGCTGGTGCAGGAGGTGCTTGATGTGCGCCTCGGGGTCGCGCTGCTGCTGCTGCTGCAGCTGCTGCTTCAGGGCCTCCGTGTTGCTCTTGTTCTCCTGCTGCAGCCGCAGGAACTCCCGGCGCAGCGTCGACTCCCCGGGCACATTCATGATGGAGCTGGGGCCGGGCGGACGGCGCGGGGGTCAGCGCATGCGCGGGGCTCAGGGCCCACAGCCGTCGGTGGGCCCCCCCACCCCAGCTCCTCCAGCCCCCGCCGCGGGTGTGTGGGCTCCACCGCTCTGTCCCCCCCGCCCGTCCCCCACCGCAGACCAGGGACCCCACGGCCGGGAGCACGGCTGCCGCTGGGCCGGGGCCGGGGCCCACCTGGGCTCGCCTTCCTCCCCGTGGCTGTCGTCCTCCTCTTCGCTGCCGCTGTACTCGTACTCCGTCTCCTCTGCAGGGGGAGCCCACCGCTGTTCCTTCCCCCGGCGCCCAGACCCCACCCCAGGCCGGGGAGCCTTCCGTGGGGCTGACCAACGCGGTCTGCGGGGAGGGCCGCGCACCCGGCCCCGCCCGCCTCCTGGGAACGTGGGCCCGGGCAGAGCGGGGGACCAGACCCCACAGCGCACGTAGGCCCGCACCGGCTCACCATAGAGCCCCTGTCAGGCTGTAACAGGGTGGCCCTGTGTGCGGGAGGTTGCCTGGGATCCGGGGGGGGGGGTGGACGAGGGCAACCCCCCCCCGGGGCTGGAAGTTTGGGGAGAAGGGCTCCCCGGCCCCGGGAGGACTAGGCCCCAGAGCGGGCAGCGGGTCTGCCTAGGAGGACCTCCCTGCTGGCCCGCAGACCTTTCTCGCCTCGCTTCTTCCGGGAGCGGTCGATGTGGTCCTTGAGCTGGATGCGGACCTGCCGCTCCGTGGGCTGGTCGCGGATGAACGGGAACTTGAGCAGCTGCTCCGTGGGCGGGCGGCTCAGGTAGGTCTTGATGAGACACGTGTCAATGAAGTCGGTGAACTTCTTAGACCTGGAAGGGAAGGGGGCTCATGCTGGGAGAGCCCCTCGCAAGGGGGGGGTTTCAGAGGCGGGAGAGGGGAATCATCCGTCCAAGAGCCACCCGGGCTTCCCTCGGGTCTTCTCCGCATCCCAACCCCGGCCCCAACCCCCACCTCTCTGTGGTGCACACCCTCACTGGACGCAGGGGTGAAGGCAGGGGGCCTGGTCCTGGGACCTACCATTTCTTGGACTTGAGTCTGGGGGGTGGGTTCCGGGGGATGAGGAAGAGGGCTCGCATGGGATGCATGTCGCACAGAGCTGGCACGTGGGGGGGGGGACACCATGAGTCCCTCTCCTGGCCCCCGAGAGCCTCAAGGAGCTCCTCCCACCATGCCCTCCCCCGGTGGCCCCCCTCCCCACAGCCCCTCTGGGGCTCCCTCCGCTCCTGGCTCCACACTTACGGGGGGCCCCCTCTGCCATCTCGATGGCTGTGATTCCTAGAGACCAAATGTCACTCTGCAGAGGAGAGAGGAGGAGGAACAGAGCATGTTCCTGACGGCCCTCTGCCCCCACCATGTCGGCCTCTTCAGGGCCTCTTTCTGGGCTCCAGCCGAGCCACTCCTCCCTGCCAGCACACCACCACACCTTCGCTGTGTCACCCGGCCCACCTGGGCCCCCGGTGTCTTCAGTCTACCCACCACCCCATCCCCGTCCCACCCTTGGCTGCCTCTGCGCGCCCTGGCTCCCGCCCCATACCCTGTAGTCGTAGGTAGCATCGGGGTTCTCGTCACAGGCGATGACCTCCGGGGCCATCCAGTAGGGGGTCCCGATGAAAGTGTTCCGCCTGCCCACAGTGCGGTCCAGCTGAGCACTCACCCCAAAATCCACTGGGAAGACACAGAGGGAGGGGTCATCACGGAGGGTCTTGGCGCTGGCAGGTCCGTGCCCCAGGGGCAGCGGAAATCCTGGCCTCTCCAGAATCCCGGACACTTCTGCCACCCCATCCACATTCCCCCCCTGTGTCTTGGGGAAAACCAATGCGAAAGGGCCAAGGGACAGGCTGGAGGGACCTGCACAGCACCTGGGACACAGAGGTAGCAGGGGGGGAACTTCGGGACTGATTTCCAGCGGGGGGGGGGCCCTCGCAGGGGAGGAGATGGGGAAGGGCAGGAGCAAGACTCCCAGCCTCACTCTGTCCTGTAGGTCAGAGCGCCCCATCTTGCCGCGAGGGAACGGGCGTACCTAGCTTGACCTCGGCATTCTCCGTCAGCAGCACATTCTGCCCCTTGATGTCCCGATGGATCACTTTGTGGGCATGGAGATGGGCCAGACCCTGCAGCCAGAGGGTGGGTGGGGACGTGAGCGAGCAGAGGGGGAGATGGAGGGCAGCCCCTCCCCACCCCGGAGCCCAAGCGCAGGCTGCGTGTCAGTGGGGAGCATCCTCAGAGAAGGCCCAGCAGCTGCAGGGTGGCAGGTGAAGTGGCAGAGGTGCCTGTCCTCCGCCCCCCCCCCGCCAACTGCCAGAGAGTTCTCCAGGGCCGGCCTCGGTCTCCCGCCCCCGAGCCGCCTGGGGCCTCCCCGGGGCAGGGAGGGTCCGTGGCCAGGGAGAGGCTGGTGCTCACCCGGAGAATCTCCCTGCAGATGTAGGCGATACAGTCTTCCTTCAGAGCGTTCCCTTTCGTGTTCTTTACCAGGTCTGTCACGGAACCAGCACCACAGAACTCCATCACCAGCTATGGGCCCAGGGTGGCACGGGGGGGCGGGGGGAAGCATCCGTCAGGCAGGGCCTCCTTCCCCTGCCAGCCTCCTGGAAGGAGGGCCAGAGGCCTTGGGGCCACAACTGGGTGAGCCGCAGAGCAGAAGGCCATGCGGTCGGGAAAGACAGGGCAGGCGGGGCTGAGGGAGACAGTGTGGGTCCTATTGAGGAGCCCAAGGAACCCTGGAAACTAGACAGAATGAGGTGCATGCACGTGTCTTCCTTGGGGACGGGCCCGGCGCTTTCGTCAGGGCCCCGTGGGGACCCACAGCCCAAAACCACAACTACCATCCCAGAGTGCGGGTTGGCAAACTTTGGCCAGCGAGCGAAGCCTGGTCTTTACATTTGTAAATGGTTGAAAACAATCAAACTAAGAATCCTATAAAATTCAAGTTTAAGTGTCCTAACTAAAGGCTTCTGGGGGCCCAGCGACGCTCCCGTCCCCGTTCAGAGGTGCACTTCCTATGGCCGTTTCAGGGTCCAGCAGCTGCGATGAGGAGCCGTGACAGACTGCAGGGTCCACAGAGCCCCAGATACCTGCTGCCCGGCCTTCACGGCCAAGGAAATGTTGGCCAAGCCCTGGCCCAGAGGCAAGACGGGGCTAAGAAAGATTCTCCAGGCCTGAGGGAGACCAAGCAGCAAGCTGCAGGAGGGGTCCTGGGAAGACCCCAGCACAAGCCGCGGTCAGCGCCCTGGGATCGGGAGGCCTGTGCCGGAGTTTCACTGCACGTTTTCCAAAAGCCCACATCCAACGCAGAGACCCGCCAGGCGGGAATGCGTACACTCATACGTGTGAAAAAGGGCATCTGCACGCCGCCCATCTGGGCCTGGGCCTCTCCCTCCGGGGGGCGGGGTGTCCAGTGCGGCCAGCGCCTAGCCTCTGGTCCTCAGGATCTCCCACTACACACAGCTGGCAGGTTACCCCCCGGGAAGTTGTGCTGCCCTTACTTAGGGCACAGTCTGTGTGCGAGTGCCTTGGAAATGGGGACGTGACTCAGCCCATCTGTGCAGAGTACACACAAGGTGCTCAGTAAGTACCCATCTGGCAATGACAGGAGGGGACACCCAGCATGAGCCCCAAGCCCACCGCTGCGCTCCCTGGCACTCTCTCCCGGGGCTGGGCTTCGGAGCAGGAAGGTCAAGGCTGGGGAATGGGCCCAGGCCCCAGAGGGCAAAGACTCTCAAGAATGTTCTGGGCCGGGAGGGAATTTGGGGGAGGCCCAAAGGAGCTACATCGAGCTCTGGTTAGAGGAATCATCCAGAAGGGCTTGTGCTCTGCCCAGAGGGTCCGAGCCCTGCCTCTGCACCCAGTGTTTGGGGCCATGGCTTCCCCTGGAGCTGTGCGTGAAGGCAGGACTGACGGACTGACGGACTCACGTCCTGCCCCAGCCCTGGCTCAGTGACGATGCCCACCGCCTAGGAAGTGTGGGCCACACACAGTATAAGCTCCTGGTGAGGACAAGGTGCGGGCAAACCCCCAGGACCCCGGGGCCCTCTAGACGCTCAGAGGACAAGTGGCTGCAGCGTGCGAGTCAGGAGGCGCTCTGGATTGGGAGGCAGGGAGGCTGTGTAGACTCAGGGAGGGCTGGGGGCCGAGGCTGGCTTGTGGGTGAGCCTGGAAACAGCGAGGGCTGGGGTGGCAGGGGCCGTCTCACCCAGAGCTGGTCATCATTCCCGGGGGGGCTCTTCTTTATGAAGGCCCCGTAGTAGGTGGCGATGTTGCGGTGGTGAGAGTATTTCTTCAGCATGTTGATCTCCTGTTTGATCTCCTCCTCCTCATCCTAGGAGAATGGGAGGGCTGAGCCCGAGAGCCCCCAGCCCGCCTCGGTGCCCCAGCCCGCCATCTGCCCCCATGGCTCCCTACCTCCGTGACGTCCATGACCTTGATGGCAGCCAGCTGCCCAGTCTTGACGTGCCGACCCTGCGGGACAGAGAGCCGGGTGTGGAGGGACGTCTGAGTCTGCGTCCAGGGACGGCGTGGTTCTGGGACAGGCCACACCTTCTGGTTTTCTGTCTTAGTGTCCCCATGGTGACTGGACACTTTTTTTTTAAAGATTTTATTTATTTGAGAGAGAGAGAATGAGAGATAGAAAGCACGAGAGGGAAAGAGGGTCAGAGGGAGAAGCAGACTCCCTGCTGAGCAGGAAGCCTGATGTGGGACTTGATCCCGGGACTCCAGGATCATGACCTGAGCCGAAGGCAGTCGCTTAACCAACTGAGCCACCCAGGCGCCCCGAATGGACACTTTTTATGGGTCAGTCACAGGGGTAGGCAGAGGCCTCTAAGAAGCACTCTGGAGCCTGGACTCCAAGCGCTAAGCTGCATCAAGATGAAGGGTGTCCTCCCCTAAAACAGCTTAGGGAGGCGAGGGAGATTCACCTCTGCTCCGGACTCCCCACAGTTTGAAAAATAGAGCAGGGAGTGAAAGGTTCTCTCTGGCCTTGGAGGAAGCTGGGGAAGGCCGGGAGAGGGCTCTGCCTCTGACACCTTCTATGCCCACACACTGCCTCGTGTGCCCCTCCCCCCGGCAGGAAGCCTTTCCCAGAATCACCCCGTCCAAGGCTTTTTATTATTATTGGCAGGAAAGAATAGACAGAGTTGGGATTTTAGGGAACTCGGGGAAACCCAGAAGGCTGACTGGCCTGTCGATGCACTAATGGGAAGTAACTTCTAGAGTATGTCCCTGCCATTCTCCCTCCTCCCCCCTCCTCCCTCTGACATTCCTCCAGGAGCCATCCCAGCCTTGGACCAGAGAGTCCAGGCTTCCTGGGGAAGCGGGGGGAGGGGGCAGCCTGTGGATCATTCTTGTCCTCAGCAGTCACCCAAGACCCCAAGCCCAGAGAAGCAGAACACAGAGCTACTATTTCCACAGCAATGACCAGGCTAGCAATGGGGGAGGGGCGCACCTTTCCCCAAAGCTTACAGGGTGGTCCCAGTGACCCAGGAAATATCCCTGAGATGCAGAGACTGGTGGAAAGGCCTAGCATTGTGTCAGGAGATGCAGAAGGCAGGTGTGCGCCTTGGAGGCCCCAGCTCTGGGGAACATCTAACATGCCGTCTCCCCCTCCTAGTGGGACCCATGGTCGGGCTGGGTGGGCCAGGCTAAAGCGACAAGCAACAGTCCGGGGCGGCCCGGAGGAGAAGGCCAGAGCTCTGGCTCCAGACCCACTGCAGGCCGGCCCGGGAGCTCGAGAAAACCACTTCCCCTCAGTGACAGGTCCTGGGGCTCCACCAGCGCCAAGGCTGGGCCTCGCTGCGGTCTTGGAAGAAAAGCCAGGGCTGTGCTTGTGGCCTGAGCTCTGCCCTGAGTTCTCGGGTGAGCCCCAACAGACGCGCACACGCACAGATATGCACGCATGCGTGCACATGCACACGGACACATGTACACAGACACATGTGCACACACATGCACACGGACACGCGCGCACACACGTGCACTGTGCATGCACATGCACGGACACACGTGCACGCACATGGACACATGCACACAGACATGCGTGCACACATGCACACACACGCACACAGACCCGTGCACACATGCACACACATGCACACACATGCACACGGACACACAGACACACACGTGCACAGACATGCAGATACACGCACACAGATACACACGTGCACACACGCGCACAGGTACGCAGATGCACACATACGTGCACGCACATGCACATGGACACACGCACAGACACGTGCACACACAGGTGCACACATGTACACAGATGCACACATCCATGCACACACATGCACGCAGATACATGCACGCACATGAATACACACATGAGCACACAGTCTCTCGCCACTGCCCTCCTGTGGCCCGGCCCACACCCCGCCCGGATCCAGACCTCCTCCTACTGCACCCGGGACTCATGGAGACTCCACGCACTGGCCAGCAAAAACACCCCACGTCCTGAGCTTCCTTCCCCCATTACTTTCACCCTCCTCCCCTCTCCCACCCTCTGTCACCTCCCACAGCCCCAGACCTAGGGCCTGCTCCCGCCACCCCTCCTGAGGGCCCCATGGAGGAGCCTCACGCTCCTGCCCCATTAGAGCCTGACCTTGTACACCTGTCCGTACGTTCCATTGCCAACCACTTCCACCAGCTCGAAGATTCCAGCAGGGTCCTGCGGAGAGGGAGAAAGAACAAGGTGTCGGGACTTCGGAACAAAGCAGGGAGAGAGGTATCCGGTCAGATGAGTGAGCACAGGCATATTAGAGTGGGCTTTGGGGGAACCCAGACCCAGCTGTGGTTTTCATGGATTGGCTGAGAGGTCGTGTTCTACAGGAAAAGTCCAAAGAAGGGGAGAGATGACAGCAGTGGGAGCCCACAGGCAGTGACAAACAGCGTCTGCAGCCTCCGAGTGTGTGCCTTTGGAGCTGGGGTCACCTGTAAACGAGGCAACGCCCATCAAGAGCTTGAGACGGTGCCTGGCACAGAGTGCGTGTGTTCAGTAGAAGATTTTTTTTAATTTTTTTAAAGATTTTATGTATTTGACAGAGAGACACAGTGAGAAAGAGAACACAAGCAGGGGGAGTGGGAGAGGGAGAAGCAGGCTTTCCCGCTGAGCAGGGAGCCCGATGTGGGGCTCTATCCCAGGACCTAGGCAGATGCCTAACGACTGAGCCACCCAGGCGCCCCTATGAGTTTTTAAAAGCAGGGAGGAGGAACGCTAGCAGGGGGCTCGAAATCCAGAAGCCCCCTCCTCCTGTCCCTTTCCCGCTTCTTCACTTCTCTGAGGTCATCCTGAGCCCCAGGGCGGGAGAGCGGTGGACAGAGAGGGCCGCTGGGAGGGGCAGGGGGCTTTCTGGAGCCAGGCGGTGCCAGGAGGAGAGGCTCGAAGGGCTCAGACAAAGCCTCCAAAGAGGCTCACTGCCTGCTGGACCGAGAGCAAGCAGCCAGCACGGCTGCGGGGAGGCCACCCACCCCTCGGCCACCTGCAGGCCTGGCAGGCAGGGGGTGACACCACCCAGAACACTCTCCCCCAGGCAGCACCCAGGCCTCTGGGCTGATCATCTGAAAAGTATATAACCTGAAACTCCTTTCTCCCCGATTCTGAAACCCAGCATAGGCTTTCTGGAAAACAAAAGAACCCTTGACTGCTCCTCCATGGCCACCAGCAGCGGAACCTAACCTGGACGGGCCGGACGGCAGGGAGACGCCAGCCCGAGGCTTCTGCAGGGTGTCCACACTGGGCGCCCCACCATGCTCGCTTTCCTGGCAAGGGGACCTGAAGGCCTGGACACGCAGCCCCCTCCCCTGTACATCCCCTCAGAGCGCGCACCACCGCGCACCGAGACCGTGACTTTCCTCGCCCGGAAACTCCCAGAAGAAAGGGCTGGAACCCTCCTTGCTCAGCAGCGTGTCCAGCACCCAGCCCGGGCCCGGCACACAGTAGCCTGAGAACAGCCCACACCTGCTCTGGGGAAGCCGCGAGGGAAGGTGCCAAGGCGCTCCCTCCACGTGCTCCCCCAGGGACTGGGCTGACCCGGCCAAGCTCCAGCTGAAATTACCCAACAAAAACACGCCGATGACAAAACCACCTTGAACAGGTCTAACAAAACAGTAGGCCCCCCAGGAAAGGGAGAAAGTGTCACTGCACAGGGACCGATGGGAGTGGCTGGGAGCCTGGACCCGGTTCTCGTCTGCCCGCAGGACCCTAGCCCCCCCAGAAGGGCTCAGCCTCTCGGGCCTCTGAGCTCGGCCTGTTGGGCAGTCCTTTGTTATGTCTACTCCGCTTTTTCCGAGGTGGACGTCCACCTCGGGACAGGGACTTGTGGTTGTGAATTTTGGGGCGCTCCTCACGTAACAGGGAAGGAGGATGGGCCTGGGGGTCCTAACCATGCATGGCCAGCCCCTCGAATCAGCACGGACAGTTTCTCTGATCTCAGACCCAAACCCGCCTCCTCCTCAGATGTGTGGGAGATGCTGGGGGAAGAAAGCAATCCTTGGGGTCAAACGCAATCTCCGGGTTCAGCTCTCCTGACCTGCAAACCAGGATGGCACGGCGCACCTCCTGGGAAGGGCTTTCCAGAGAACGAAGCCGGGACCAGGCCTGTGACGGGCATTGCGGTGCCCGGCCCCCTGCACAGAACATGGGACCATTTCCACACCTGTTGCCTGTCCCTTCTTCCCTCCAGACGGCCCCATTTGTCTTCCTCTCAATCCCGGGGCGCCCCCGCTCCCGGCTCGTGCCTCACCATGCCTCCGTCCATGGCCTGAGGTCACCTTCCTGACCTTCCTCTTGTGCCCAGAGCTGGCCCGACCCCTGCGGCTCACAGAGGAGTCCCAACACCTCAGGCTGGTATTCAAAGTCGCCCCATCGTTAACCAACCAATAAATATTTTCTGAGTGAGTGTCTACACCCACCCTGGGCCCGCCTAGGCCCTAATCAGGGGAAATCTGTAAGGCAACTTTCTCTTCTTTCATTTACCTGGTAAACATTTATTGAGCACCAACTGGGTGACAACTCAATTAGGTGCAAACAGAGCTCAACGATACATGAGAAACCTGGAAGGTCCAGGACAGACCTTGAGATTTACAGGCCAAGTACCCCAGTGCAGACAGGTGGCGGTACAGGATTTTAGGCCAAAAGAGCGAGCGAAGGCCCTCAAGGCATCGAGAAGCTGCCAAGAAGAGTGGGAGCCCCTGGAGAGTAGCCTTCTAGGGGGTCTTGGGCATCAGCTGTGTCCTGAGCAAACATTTAAGTGTTTGGGGCCTTGTCCTGCTCACACACACAGAGAGGGGCTGGGACTGGGTGGAAGGTCTGTTTCGTGGCTTCAGGGACAGACTGAAGCAGGCGGGGCACGTCGGGTGGGCTCCTGGAGGAGACAGTGCGGATGGAGCCGGGCTCTGCAGGCTGGGTCGGCCGTCAGCTAGCACCAGGAAAGTGAGAGCGAGGGGGCCAGGCGGGGGATGGCAGTTTGGTCGGGACGTTGCGTTTTTGATGTTAGGGGACGTCAGGCGGTTAGAAACGAGGGTCTGAGAGTGGACACGGCAGACAGATGTCCAGGGAAGGACGAACACAGGAGCCGGCCTCTTGGGAACAGCCCTGTGCTGCGTGCCGGACAGCAGGTTAGACAGACAGCAGGACACACGGCACGGACGAGAGCACCACTGGCCCCAGGGGACTGCAGCCGGGACAGGGCTGGAGGGGCCTCGCTGGGGCAGAAGTGGGGCCCACAGGCACAGTGCCCTCCGGGGAAGCCAGGCTGAGTGGAGGGGAATCAGATGATGGGGCAGCGGGGTCAGACAGAGGGCTTCCAAAACAGGAAGGTCTCCCCTGCCCGTGGAAGGGAAGGTGACAAAAAGCCAGGAGACGGAGGACCCCTGCCGAATCGACTTCTTAGCCTGAACATAAACTGCGTCCCCTGTGGGGTTACGGTAGCAATTCGGTGTACGTCTGGTTTCTCCCATCCGCGCGCCTGGCAGTCCAGAAGGCCCCGTTCAAATGCACACATTTATGCACGGCTCCGACCTCGCATGTGCCCTTCAGACATGCGCCTGTCCGCGCGCTCGGTGGCTCTCTCCGCACACGGGCCCAGCGCCGGGACCATGTGCTGGGAGCATCCTCCAGCTCTTCCTCCAGCTGCTCGAACTCTGTCATTAGCCGCCGGCCGGGCGCCAAGAGGTGGGAAGGGGTGGGGACGCGGCTGCGGACAGCTAATGGGAGGAGGGACAGGACAGGAGGCACTGGTCTGTTGAGGCAAGGAGGGAGACGAGGGAGCCCCAGGAGCAGCCAGTGGCCCTGACTTCACGGACCACATCGGCGGGAAGATCATCGGCTACTCGGGACTGGGGGCCTGCGTGAGGTCGAGAAGCTGGGGAAGAGATGTCTTCAGGACACACGAGGACCACTCGGAAGACGCTCCTGGGACCTGGCTCCCGGGATTCCGGACGCAGCACGCGGGTCTGGGGTGAGGAACAGATTCCCCATCGTCCTCCCGGGGTGATTCCACTGTGGGTCCATCGATGGACCCACTTTGAGAAACTGTGCACGTCAGGGGGGTACTGACAGGTGGGTGGGGTGCGGGCCTCTGCAGAACGGTGACCAACTGCTGTCCTGTAACAGCCCCACAGCCCCTTCACCCTAACACTCAACTCACACCCGTTTTTCTCTACGTTCACGTGCCGACCCCGCCCAACGATGACCTTTTCCCGTCTGAGCCAAATCCTGTTTGTTTCAGGAAGTCTTCCCAAGCTGCCCCACCCATGAATGCCAACCTCGGTTTCACGTATCAACCTCACAGTGGAGACTGTGCGATTGAGCTTCTCAAGAATAGGACCACGTGGAGACGTGCTTTTCTTTAAATCATCTGAGAGTAAGACAAAGTTGTCGACTCTTGCCACTTCTATTCAGTGTTATGCTGGTGGCTCTACTCAGCATCATCAGGAAAGAAAAAGGAATAAAAGCAGGCATCTAGGTTGGAAAAGACGGAAAACTCTCTCTGTGTGCACATGACACAATCATGTGCACAGAAAAATCCTAAGAAATGTACTAAAAATCTGCGAGAACAAGTCAATGAGTTCAGCAAGGTTGCAGAATGCAAGATTAATGAACAAAAACCAACCCCATATCTATGTACGACAATGACTAATCCAAAAATGAAATTAAGAAAACAATCCCATTTACAGTAGCATCCAAAAGAATACATTTAACTACAGAAGTGTCAGACGGGGACACCGAAAACTAGAAACATTGTTGGAACAAGTTAAAGACCTAAGTACATGGACAGATTTCCCATGTTCATGGATGAGAAGACTTAATATTGTTAGTATCTACAGACTCAGTGCACTTCTATCAATCCCACTGGGCATTTTTGCAGAAATTGACAAGTTTATCCTAAACATCATATGGAAATGCAAGGGATCCAGGAGAAACAAACAATCTTAAAAAAGAAGAACAAAGTTGGAGGACTCACACTTCCTGATTTCAAAACTTACTGCAAAGCGACAGTAATCAAAACAGCGTGAGAGTGGCATAATGACAGACATCTGGATCAATGACTAGAATGGAGAATCCAAAAATCAACTCTTAAATTTGTGGTCAACTGATTTTCGACAAGAATACCAAGGCATTCAAGTCTTTTCAACAAATGGTGCTGGGACAACTGAGTATCCACATGC